GAGAAGCGAAGGGGGTGGGCTTTGGAGTTTTATTGTCGGGTTTGCGGGCCCGCCCGCGCGGCCTGCCCGACTCGGACGTGCCTGCGTTCCTAGATCTCGCCCTGGGTGCGGAGTGCTGCGAGCGGGCTTCTCAGGCCCAGAGGGGTGACCTCAGACCCATTTCGCTGGCGGGGAAACCGAGGCTCGCCCCGTTTCGGGGTCAAGGACTCGGCGTGGAAGCCAGGCTGTGCTTCTGCCTGGCCAGGTCTCCATCTCCTCATCCGTAAAGTGGAATTCGGACCTGAGTGTAGACGGATCCCGGGTCTGGTTGGCCTTTCTGTCCTCGGCTACAGGACACACAGACCCTGCAGCAGTGGGGTAGCCATCAGGGCGAACGGCCGCCGTCCCGGGCTCCCTGGGCCCAGGGCCTCCCTCCTCTGGAGCCCGCTGTGCCAGACCCAGCTGACCTGGGCCGTGAGGTCTCGCCCTCCCCACCCCCTGTGACCTGGGCCAACCTCTTGCTGCCCCCGGACCTCCGTTTTCCCATCGAGAACCAGACGGCTGGGCTGGCAGGTGGCACAGCAGTTAAGGCGACAGGATCCCACGTGGCCCCCGAGCGGGTGGAAGCCCGAGCCCGAGGCCCGAAGAGCACACTGGGCACGTGTGTGCGGGGGCCCACACCCAGGAGGAGACAGCAGACTAGGGGCTGCGGCACGGCTGTCCCCGGGTGTCCTCTCCAGTCCCTCTGTCTCTGGCCCTGTGGCAAACACCGAGGAGGAAAGGACGGGGAGGAAAACGGTCCCGAGCTGCCCTGGGCACAGGGTGGGTCCCCCATGGAGGGCCAGCTCTGGGCTTCCCATGCTGCCCCTGCCTCTCAGCTCGCTGGGGGCCCCGCGGGGGTGTCGTGGCCGCTCCCTGCTCTCCCAGAGCCCACAGGAGCGGTGGCCTCCCCAGCCTCACTCGGTACAGGCTGGTCTCCACCTGGGCCGAGACACCCGTGCCTGGGCCACTGGGCCACGGAGCGGACAGGGACGAGACTTCGAGCTGGGCTCTGGGGCTCTGGAGGCCAGCCCGGGGGCCCTGCTGTGCGGGCCTGAGCACCAGCGCCTCCTCCCTGCCACATGTGGGCTACGCCCATTGCCCGGAGGAGGAAACCGAGGCCCAGCACACTCCGCCCTGGGGCCCAGCCGTCCTGCCTCCCACCTGCCTCCCACCTGCCGGAGGCCGGCCCCGAGCCCACAGGGCACCACTGTCCTCTGGAAGGCCCGCCCTGGGGCTGAGTCACTGGGCGGGACAGCCCGTGGGGCCCCACTCGGCCACCTCTGTGCAGCCCCGGGCCCTGGCAGGGGGACAGGCCGCCCACGGCCCCTCACCCTGACTGCGGCCTTTGTTTATGTGGGTGCTGCCCGGGGCACCTGCCTGTCCCTACCTCAGCCCTACCGTGTGACGACGCTGCATCTCCAGGGCGCGGGGTGGGGTCCACGGGGTGGGCCTGGCGCACCTGTCGGCCACAGCCGGCCAGCGGGGAAGGTCACTGGGCCTAGGATTCAGACCGAGGCCTCCCTCCGGACTGTGTCCAGTGTCCGCACGCCAGGGCGCCCACCTGAAGCCCCTGGCTTCCAGAGGATGTTTCTCTGGGCCTGCAGGTGGGGCTAGTCCTGGGGGTCTCCCAGGGCTCCAGGGTGGGGGGCTCTTTATCCTTCCTATGGAGGTTGAGGCCGCCATGCCGGGCAGGGCACCCCGGCCCAGCCAGCATGAGAAGTGGGGAGACACTGGTGCCTGGACCCCTCCACCTGGAACCAGGGGACCGAGGCCCTGTGGGGGGAGCTGTGACGAGGGGTGGGCTCCGGGGGAGTGACACTGCAATCACAGAGTGAGGAGGGGAGGTGAGGGAGGGGGGTGCCGGAGGAGGGGGCCCAGCAGGGGCGAAGGCCCCACGGCAGGGGGCCCAGGGAAATGGAGAGTGGAGGGCGGTGAGGGGTCGGGCGGGGAGGGCACGGGGGGGGCACAGAGGGGGCCTGAGGAGGACAGGGACGGG